CCAAACCTTTCTGTGATTCTATAGTCTGAAGTGGATTTAACATTCTCTTGAAATGGGGAAAACTTTTCTTTTTCCTCTGCCTCCATGTGAATGCTGTGAAGTGACTTGGTGACACAAAGCCAGTGTGGATTAAAGTAAAGCTTTTATTTGGTTTGAACTCGGGGGCAGATTTTTCAGGAGTGTGCTCCTGTGTAGTTCCTGTGTTGTTCCACATCATTTAGGGGAAGTAGTAGTGTAGTGTGGTTCTGGTTTTCATGGACTACTCTCCTATTTTTAAAGCACAGTAATTGCTTTTAGAAGTTACATACAAGTCACTCTGGCCCAAAATACGTTGGGTCTTAAATTTTCACCTTCAGCGTGTGGAACAAGATGAGCTTTCAGGTCTCTTCCAACCCAAACCATTCCAGGCTTGTGATTCCATGAAAAAAACCAAACCAGCCGAGGCAGAGGAGTGGAGTCTTTGTTAATCTTTTCCTAGCCCTGAACTCCGAGCTAACTAATCCGGGTGTGCGTTCCCTGCCCCCCACCTTCCCCTGTGACTCACCCGTCACCAGGGGCTGCGCATAAATCACTTTTAGTGCCGCAGCTTTCCTAAGCAGCGCCCAAGGCAGAGGAATCAGCAGGTGAGAGCCTCAAAATGGGTGCCAGGATTGCAGGGAAAGTGCTGCTGAGCAGATCAAACGCTGCTCACCGGGGAAAGGGCGCAGCTCTTTGCCAGTCTGGGTGTCACTGGGGCATCAGCGGCAGCCAGGGAGAAAGGCAGAGAGGCTCCTCAGATCCAACAGGGTCACTAGGGTTGGAGTTAATCCACTCGAGGCGTGAATATTTGGGAAGCACTTTCCCTTTGGTGACCATGAGGCGATGGACACCCGGTTCTCTCCTTGCAGAGAGAATTCTTGAGCTCGTCTATGGCGCTAACGAAGATAACGAAGCTGAAGTGTGATTTCAAGGAGAAGAATTCCCGCCTTTCTCCTGGGTGGGTGCTTCTATTACAAGCCCCAAAAGTATGCAGGGCCTTTTGTTAAACCAAAACCATGTGTCCCGTGCTGTGGACACGACTGACTCCAGCTGAGTCATTTGGGTCCTCAGAGAACAGCTAATTTCTCAGTTAGGGCAGAACTAGAACTAGATTTAGTTCCAGGACTAGGGCTAAATGCTAGTCCGCTGCATTTGCATATGCAAATGGGACGGGGAAGGAGCCTGTTTGTCCTTTCTCTGAAAAATCAACCTGATGCTCTCCAGGGAAGTGCCAGTGCGGAAATTCAGGTGGGAAGAGGCTCTGAGGAGCGAGGGGGACACGGGAACGGGGTATCCCAGTTGGCCCCACAGTTTATACTGGTCCCTCAGCCACATCCCGGCAGCGGGAGGTCAACCCTCAGCATCCAGACCCCGAGGGCTCACCCTCCTGCCGCTCCAAACACTTGCTAGGAAGCCGCAGTGTTTTCTTCCTCCCCCTCAATCTCCCCATTAACAGAATTGCCCTGAGTTATCTTCCCCGATAAACCACAGAGATAACATTTTTAGGCAGCTCCAAACAAAGGCGGCTCTGTGTCCAGCCCCTGGGGATTTAAGCTCCGGAGCAGGGTCGGGATGCTCCTCTCCCACTCCTCGAGGGGTAGGACACCCCGGGCAGACGCGTCATTGTCCTCCAAGCAAGAATTTCCATCCCAGCAGTGCCAGGGCTTCCATTTAAGGCGGATTTTGGGGCAGGCTCCGGTCACGGGCGAGAAAGGGGTGCTCGTTTATCGCCCAAGGACAGACCTCCCAGCAGCTCCCCGTCCTTATCACCCGCAGCTCGTTCATCCCACAGCTCCCTCCGGAGCAGGAGCCTCCCAGGAGGCTGCAGCACAACACATCGGGGGGAAATCCAGCACATCAGGGAGGAGAAGGGACCCACCGTGATTTTTGGGATAAAAAAAAATCCCTCCCTTAGCTCGCTCGGCTCTGTTGCAAGTGGAAAATAAACCGAAGCGTGAGGGTTGGAGCCGGAGCTTGGCTGGCCTCCAGCTCCCCGGCCGCGGGGAGAAGGGAGATCGGAGCCCAGAGGACGGTGCAATAAACGGCTGGTGGCTGGGGAAGTTCGGTTTTATCGACCACAGCCGGTGGGGAACTCGACACGAGCGTTTCCTGCGGCACGTGCTGGACGGTTCAGACCCCTGAAATACCCGTGTCCTGGCTGACACAGCATCTGTTTGCTCCTCACCCGTCCTTACTGGAGACTGGGGGGGCGAGGGAGGCTCTAATCTCCCCTCCCAGAGCATCTTCCGTGTAACTGTGACCCTCAGCACACCCCGGGGAGGTGACGGGGTACGTGACTGTTTATGTTTTGTTTCTGAACAACAACAGTCAGTTTTTTACCTTCGGGTTTTTTTTTTTTGTTGCCTCTCGTCTGTTTTCGTGCCTGGCAGGGATCTGAGGCCGCACGATAATTTTGACCTTCACCCCTCCCACCCCCCCTTAGGACAAATGAATAATTCGTCTCAGGAATTCTAAGTTCCTCTTTTAAACAGAGGGGGGGAAAAAAAAGGTCTTGCAGGCTGTGAACTTCATGAGAACAGAGCTCAGCCCCACACTGCACTTGGGCAAGCCCGGGCAAACCTCTCTGCCCCTCCGTGCCTCGGTTTCCCCCCTCTGTGGTGAGGCTGCTCAGACTTCTGTCCTCACTCCCTTGTCTTCGGGGTTTGGGGGATGCTCAGGGCAAGCAGATGGATTTTCTCACCCTCTCTCCCTTCACTTTTCTTAGGGCAGCTTCCCTGTCTCTGAGAATGCAGAGGAAAGGGTTAAATCCTTCCCCTCCCCCTGGCACAAAGTAAAAATTAACAGTAAGTGCAGAGTCTCGGCTGAGATTTACCCCTTTCCCTTCCCTCCTCCTTTTCCTCCTCTTGAACCAGGACTTAAAAGGAGCTCTGGGATGGAGGAGAGGGCTGAGGGTGTTGCAGACTGAAAGCTGCAGCCCAGGCTCTGTATCCAAACCAAGGCACTGGCCAGCTTGGAAACTGGAGCAGAAACTGGAGCACAGACCTCTGGCTCAGCAGGTCTGAGGGCTGAAATGATGGATAAAATCCAGCTTTTTGCTTAACTTTGGAGAGTCCCATCCCAGGTTGAATATCCCTGTGGTGAGACTCCAGGAAGCTGCTGCTGTTCCATCTCCTCACACAGCTACAGAAGCAAATTAAAAATTGCCTTTTGGGAGTTAAACACTGAATTGGACACACTGAATCTTCCTCCCGAATTTCTCAAAGCACGTGGATACATTCTCCAGGCAATATGCATTTTA